GGTCCCTCCTCCGACGCCCGCCGGGAGGGCGAAACGCCGCTCGGCGTACATGCTTCCAATGTTGGAGATGTCACGGCCCACTGCGCCGGGCGAGTCTTCGGCGCCCTGGCGGCCATGCCTCCGGCCGAACGGCCAACTTCGGCCCGCCCTCGACCGAGGGATCGGTGCCTCCCCTGGGAGGCCGCAGGGCGCCGCCGCCGCGCCCAAGAAGCGACGTCTGGCGCCTGGCCCCCGTGGGCCTCTCCCAGGGCCGAGGCGAGCGAAGCCTCCAGGGCTGCATCGGCCGCAGCGTGCTCTGCGTGCAGCCGCACTCCGGCAGCGTGAGCTGGCCGTCTGCGGGCCTCTCCGCGCCCCGCCGGGCCCGCCGCGCGACGGAGGCCACGCCTGCCGCTGCCAGGGAGCCGTCTCAACGACACTGCGGTCAGCGGTGCTGGTGGCCAAGGGCGCGGCGGCCGTGGCAGCCGCCCTCGCGGCTGCTGCGTCTGCGGCCTCAGCCTCATCGGCGGCGTCGGCCCTTCGCCGCCGAGGGCGGGAGCCGCAGGGTCCCTCGGGGGCGCTCCGGGTGCTGACCGTGCTCCCGCTGCTGGCCACCAAACCCGAGCCTCGTGTTTTCCAGCCTCCTCGACTCGGAAGCCCCCCAACCCCGTTAACTGTAGCGCCGCGCGAACGAGCGCCACGTGGGGGGTGGACGCGGTGCCTGCGCCGGCGGCGCCTGCCCCTGCCCCGGGAGCTGCACGCTGGGCGCACGGCTGCCGGCCGCGGCAACACCTTCGCTGTCGCTGTGGGGGTACTGGCGGCGAGCCGGCGCGCCCTCCGCGCCAGCCATCCGAGGGGGTGCTGCGGGCTCCCGCTGCTGCTGCCTTGTCGCCGCCGGCGCAGGGTCCAGCTCCCCCTCCTCGAGCACACGAGTCCTCCCCCGACTCCTCGGCCTCTCCCTCGGGGTCCCGCGCCGGAGGCGCCTCCGGCGGGGGCCTCGGCGGTGGCCTCCGCGGCGGTGTCCGCCACGGCCTGCTCGCTGGCCGCGCCTCCAGAGACCTGCGGGAGCGCGATCGGCTCCGCGGCTGGAGCTGCACCGCGTGGGCGCCAGTCGCTGACGCCGCCCAAATGCCCCTGGGCGCCAGTCGACGTGCCCAGGCGCTGCCACTCCCCTGCGGGGGAGCGCGCTCGCTCTGCCAGCGGCGGTGGCGGCGGCGAGGCGCCTGACCCAGCGACCCAGATCGGCACGGGGAGCCTCCTCCTCCTGTTCCCCCTCCTCCTGTTCCCCCCCTCCTCGCCTCCTCCTCCCCCTCCTCCTCCTCCTCCTCCTCCTCCTCCTCCTCCTCCTCCTCCTCCTCCTCCTCCTCCTCCTCCCCCTCCTCCCCCTCCTCCTCGTCCTCCTCCTCCTCCTCCTCCTCCTCCTTCCTCCTCCTTCTCCTCTCCTCCTCCCTCCTCCTCCTCCTCCTCCTCCTCCTCCTCCTCCTCCTCTCTCCTCCTCCTCCTCCTCCCCCTCCTGCCTCTCCCTCCCTCCTCCTCCTCCTACTCCTCCTCCTCCTCCTCCTCCTCCTCCTCGCTCGTCCTCCTCCTCCTCCTCCTCCCTCCTCCTCCTCGTCCTCCTCCCCTCCTCCTCTCCTCCTCCTTCTCCTCCTCCTCCTCCTCCTCCTCGCATCCTCCTCCTCCCCTCCTCCTCCTCCTCCTCCTCCTCCTCCTCCTCCCCTCCCTTCTCCTCCTCCTCCTCCTCCTCCTCCTGCGGGAGGGCCGGGAGGCCGGACCCTTCCAGTTCGCGCGCGGCCCATGGGCGTCGGGCGCGCCCACCAAGGGCGCCCCGCGCAGCACGCAACCCGTCGGGCCCCTCGGCCAGCTCGGGCCAGAGTGGCTGCTTGAGCCAGGATGTCTGCGGACCGCCGCACAGTCTATGCGGCACAGGTCACGCCACACGTGTCACATCGCATAGCTGGCACGCTATGGCTCACACCGCATAGCTTACACAACATGGCTCGCACCACGCAGCTCCCGTCACATACCTTACGCTACGTGGCTAATACCACAGGCATTGGTCGCATAGTCTTCACTTTCACTCTCACAGTGTGCAATAACGCACTGCTTGGGGTCTACGCCCAACGTTGCGTTGCACTTTACTACGCCTGTATTTCTGCATTCCGATTCGGACGAATTGAGCCACTTCTAGGTCTAAGTAGGTGTGTCGATCTCGGTTTTTCCCGATCGGGACACGTCCGATGCCTGATGTCCAGACCGGGTAGCTCGACACGGCTCGCATGTCCCACTTTGCGCGATGTCTTTCAATTAGCTTCAGCTGCGAACTCAGTCGGATTACCCGTGCCATCATCTTCACGGGTCCTGAAAACCGGATCGACGCTTTGTATATCAGGTATCGAAGACGCCTTCGGCAAACCACAGCCGCCCCCTGCCTTTTGGAAACGCCCATGCGGCCAAACCTTGGGCCAAAGTCTGCCGGAGCTGTTGGACTATGTGTTTCCCCAGCCTTTGTGCAACCCCTTGGGGGAACACCTGGGATAGAAACAGAAAGGAGGACGAGGAGGAGGAGGAGGAGGAGAAGGAGGACGAGGACGAGGACGAGGACGAGGACGAGGACGAGGAGGATGAGGAGGAGGAGGAGGAGGAGGAGGAGGAGGAGAGAGAGGTAATGTAGCAGGATAGGAGGAGGGAGTAGATGCACGAGGAGGAGTGATGGAGGAGGAGGAGTGAGTAGGGTTAGGAGGAGGAGGAAGAGATAGGAAGAGGAGGAGGAGGAGGAGGAGGAGGAGGAGGAGGAGGAGGAGGATCAGGAGGCCTCTTGAAGCCGTCTTGTGGGGGCCTCTGAAGGGACTCTTGGGGGCCTCCTGGGGCCTCTTACAAGCCCCTTGGAAGCCTTCTGGGGCCTCATGGGGGCCTCTTGGGGGCCTCTGGTCTGTTCTGGGAGCCTCTAACGGACCTATTGGTCTTCGGAGGCAGTCTCGGGGAGCTTCTTTGGGCAGTCGTGGGTCCCCCGTTGGGTGCTTTACGGCAGCCTTGGAGCGTCTTCGGGCAGTTTTGAAGGCTATCTTGGGCCATCGTGGCCGTTTGGAGGCCGTCCAGGAAGCGATTTTTTCGACTTCGGGGCTCTTTCGAGTGGCCAGCGGGTTGTGCCGGAGGCCGCTGGGAACCTTCAAACATTTCCAAAACAGTAAAATGCCTACACATGGGGACGGCGGATGGCGGATGAGGTTCGAGTGATGAGGCTCTGGTGGGGCGAAGCCCCGAAGGAAGGGGCTCCAGGGGAGAAGCGAAGCGCGGCCGCGCCGGCGTAACACGCAATCGCCCCCCTATGATTGCCCAGGAGGCCCCCCCCGAGACGGCCCAGGAGAGGTCCAAGTGGGCTCCAAGACGGTCCAAAAGCGCTCCAAGAGAGCCCAAGACCGCCCAAGAGCATTCCAAGATGGGCTAAGAGGGCCTCGCGACGGTCCATCGGGGCCTGAAGATGGCCCCGCAGGCCTTCAGGAGAACCCCACGGGCTTTTAGAAGCCCAGACAAATTGATATCCTTCAGGTTTTTGCAAATTTTAGGGCTCTCGCCTTTTTGGGCTTCCGACGGCCCACGACGGCGGCCCGACTGATCGCCCCAATGCAGTCTACAGTCGGCCCAGATTAGTAGGTCGACCCTGCCAAGTCAAGGTACCCTTGTGTCCTGTGTCTCGCGACCCATGCTTCCTACATTCCCGTGGCAATGTGGCCCTCGGAAGGGTCTTGTGTCCTCTCGCGTGTCCTGTCCAATCGAGTTCGACTGTATGAGGCCGCCCAAAACGGCCCAAGAGAGGCCCAAGAGGCTCCCAATGAGCCCTGAGAGGCCTTGGAGGCCCCGAAGGAGGGCCGACGAGGGCACCGATGAGGCCCCAAGACGGCCGCTGCTCCCCCCCAGACGGCCCGAGAAGCCCCAGGGACGGCCCACGAGCCTCCCGGGGGGACCCCCAGACTGCCCGAAGAGGCGGCAAATCGGAAACTGGAAACATATACATTACCAGTGGACCCCCAGACTGCCTGAAGAGGCAGCAAGGCGGAAACTGGAACATATACATTACCAGTGGCGGGCTGTGTTTTCAATCCCACGGCTTTTTGAGGGTCGGGGACGACGTCGGGGTGGTGTGGTGTATACCTTTCCCGCGTTTTCCACAGGAAACAACGACAAATGTATACACCAGGATCCCGCATGCACCAGGATTCGCGTTCTTGTGCGAATTTCAGCGCAGGGTCGGAAAAAGCGGTGGTGTATAGAGCTCGTTTCCCTAACGAAATGAGTTCCCGTAGGTGTTCCATGGTGTCGTGGCGTCTCGCCCCGTCGGGCCCACGCCGCCCGAGGACGGCCCCGAGAGGGCCTCCGTGGCTCCCCGCCGCCGGCCCGGGAGGCTCGCCAGGAGGAGGGCGCCCCCAGACGGCCCGCGCGCATAGCCTTTTTGGCTCCAGCCCCCGGGGCCCAAGGCGCTCGCACCGCCGACCCCCCCCCCCCCCCCCCCTCCGCAGCCAGAGGCCCCCGGCCGCGGCGGGCGCCGCGAGGGGCCCCCCCCGTCCGGCGCCATGGCGGGCCTGGGGCCCAAGCCCCGCGTGGGCGGCGCTCCCGCCGGAGGCCCGGGCGAGAGAAGCATGTCCGCCTCCGCGGCCTCGCGGGCCTGGCTCCGACGCCGCGGCCCCGCGGGGGCGGGGCGCGCTCTCGCGGCCTGCGCCGCGCACCGGCCCACGACCGCCCCCCCCCCCCCCCGCTCGCCGCCAGCCGCGCGCGCCGCAAGAAGCCCTCCACTCCTCCCCTGCAGGGGCGCGGGGGGTGTCCGTGCGTCCGCGTGTCCGCGGGACGGCGCCCCGAGTTTTCGACCTGGCAGGGAGGCTCAGCCGCAAGCGCGCTGACCAGAGGTCTGCACAAGACATGCGGCCAGCGGTGGAGGCGCTCCTCGACCCACTGCCTCGCAAGTGTCGGGCCGCATCGGCGTCCTCCGAGTCGCTGGCATCGGGGAGACCCGCGAGGGCGCGGATACGGATATGCGCGCCGCTCGTGGCAGAGGCATGGACTTCTATAGCCCGCCCGCCGGCAACATCTCGGCGGCGAGCGATGGGGGGGAAGTGAGAAGGAGAAGGCCCTCTCAGAAGGCGGCGGCACTCGCGCCCTCGGAGAGGCTATCGGGGGCCTTTTCGGGGAAGGCTCCGAAGACTCCTCCGAAGGCCAGGGGGGCCCTCCGAGCCTTCTGAGAAGGCCCGCCCCTCCTCGCTTCCCCCCCCAAGCTCGCCGCCGCACATCGGGCAGCCCTTCGGCGCCCCGCAGCCGCCCCAGCCGCTCGGAGGTGCACCCATGGCGCCTGGGCCAGCGCCCATGGGAGGCTCCATCGGGGGCCCCATGCAGCCGGGAGGCGTCCAGCCTGGGATATTCAGCCCAGGGCCGGCGCCGCAGCCCGCGGCCTACGACGAGGGCGACATCGAGAACGAGCCGCCGCTGCTCGAGGAGCTCGGGATCAACGTCGAGCACATCCTCGCGCGCATCAAGGGCGTGGCCTTCTTCAAGAAGGTCGACCAGGAGGTGCTGTCGGACTTGGACCTGAGCGGCCCGCTGGCCATCATCATGGCGCTCGCGTGCTGCCTGCTCCTGGCTGGAAAGATCTCCTTCTCGTACCTGTACGGGATGGGCTTCTCGGGCTCTTCTCGGGCTCCGCGGGAATCTGGATGCTGGTGAACGTTGTGAACTTAGCTGCTCTGATACGCCCGTTTTGGAATGCCACACGTGCCGTGCTCAACGCGCTGCGTGTTGGTTCGGCACGGGTTGACCTACGTTTTGGCGAACGTATCGCGCCAGACCTACGTTTTCAGTCTACGTATTGAGCTGCGTGTCAATACGCTATGTGTTGCGTGTTGCGTGTCGGGGCAGCTAAGGTAATGAACCAGACGGGTGGCATCGACCTGTACCGGACCTCGAGCATCCTCGGCTACGGCCTGATTCCGATCGTTATATTAGCGCTTGTTGGGATCTTCTTGTCCTTGCAGTCGACAGCCGGCGCTCTCCTAGCAGGCGTGTGCATCTTCTGGGCGACAGCTACCTCGTCAAGGTTCTTTGCCACGGCCATCTCGATGCAGCAGCAGAGGTGGCTGGTCGCGTACCCCGTCGGCCTGTTCTACACCTGCTTCACCCTCCTGGCCGTCTTCTGACTGCCCGGGCATGCTTGCCCAGACTCCTCCTTCTCGTCTCTCGCATCGTGGAAAAAAGAGGGCCCCAAAGATGGTCCAAGAGGGTCCCAAGACGGCCATAAAGAGCCCCAAGAGAGGCCAACGAGGGCCATAGAGGCCCCAAAGAGGGCGCAAGAGGGCCCTAAGAGGGCCCCCAAACGGCCCAAGCCCCCCAAGACGGCCCAAGAGGCCCACAGGACGGCCCCAAAGGCTCCCACGAGGACTCCCAAGACGGCTTGAGGAGGCAAAAGCGCATTGATGTCCCTTAGGTTTTCATTGATGATTGGATGATCACCTTTTCGGGCCCAGATTGGCCGAAGACGGCTTTGAGGGCCTCCGAGATTTACCCCAAGACGGCCCCGGAGGCTCCCAAGAAGGCCCCAAGACGGCCCAAGAGGGCCCCAGGACGGCCACAGAGAGCCCCAAGACGATTCAAGAGGAGCCCAAGAGGGCCCAAGAGGCTCCCAGGAGAGCCCCCAGAGTGCCGTGCATGGTGCCCTTTTTCTCGCCCCCTACGACGAGCAACAGTGCACATTCCCGCGTGGGGATTTTGCACGCGCGGCTTCCATTCGTTTGCGTACATGTGCATGTTCTTTTTGTTTCCGTGTGTTCTCCCCGTCTGAGAGCTTGATCTTCACACACGGCGTTATCGTAGTCGCGTTGGCAGCGTTTCGGGATCGGTGCGTCAAGCCCTTCGTTCGGAATGGCTCCCTCGCCCTAGCATCTCTGGATCCGAATCTTTCATCATCGTTGTCGTCCCCTCCTTATCCTTCTCGTCCTCCCCCTGCTGCTGCTCCTTCATACCCTCCTATTCATCTTCCTCCTCCTCTCCGTGGCGTGTTCCTCGATCTTGCTTGCACTGCTCACCACGGCTTGACACGTGCGCAACGTACAGCTCCAGCAACAACGTAGGCGATGTTCGCGAAGCCCCGTTGCTGCGGCCGCGAACGCAAGAAGTCAGCAGCGAGCCAGGCGCCACGGGGATCTTCAGGATGCCATCGCGCCACTGCCCGAGAGCTGACCCGACGACGACGACGACGACGACGACGAGGATGTCATCGGGCCATTGCCCGAGAGCTGACCTTGGATTCCTCCTCGGCATCGGCTCCCCCGTGCTCCTCGTTCTTCGGGTGAGGGGGGGTGGCCTTCACCGATGGAACATTGAAGGCGTTGGAAGCTGGGCCAAGGTGTGACGCCCCGTCGCTGGTGCAAGAAGTCCTGCTGGCAGGGCGCACCTGGCGTGTCATCTGACCTTCTCGGACCGTTCCCTGATTGCCACTGTCCCCCTCCTTCCCCTCCTCCTCCTCCTCCTCCTCCTCTCCTCCTCCTCCTCCTCCTCCTCCTCCTCCTACTCCTCCTCCTCCTCCTCCTCCTCCTCCTCCTCCTCCTCCTCCTCCTCCTCCTCATCCTCCCCCCCCTCCGCTGCAGAAGTGCCCCCCCCTTGCCGGATGTACAGCAAGTGACGGGCCAAGCTCTGCAATTGCAATTCTTGGGCCAACGTCTTCGAGCCCACCATTCGGGAGACAGCAGACGATTCAACTCAACGAGCAGGGGCTATTTCAGATGCGAGGCGTGGCGCGAGCGCACCTGTGTCACCTGCCTTCTCTCCTCCTTCCGCTCTCTTCCATACCTCCTCCTCCTCCGTACACATTCTTGCCCACTTTCCTTCCCCATCTCTACCGATAATCCCTCCGCCTCTCTCTCCTCCGTTCTTTCTCCTCCCCGTTTTCCGATTCATCGTTGTCCTCCCTTCCCCCCTCGTCCTCCGACACCTCCTGGTCATCTGCTCTCCCTTGCCCGTGCTCCCTCTCCCGCTCGTCTGTCCCGCCTTCTCCCTCCTCCCGCCTTCCTCCTTCCACCTCGTCCTCGTCCTCCCGCTCTCTGTTTCCCTCTCCCGCCCCATGCTGGCTCCTCCCTCCTCCCCCTCTTCTTCCCCCTCCTCCTTCTCCTCCTCCTCCTCCGCGCCTCCTCCTCCTCCTCCTCCTCCTCCTCCTCCTCCTCCTCCTCCTCCTCCTCCTCCTCCTCCTCCTCCTCCCCCTCCTCCTCTGCCACCCTCGTCTGCTGCCTCCTCTCCCTCTCCTCCCTCCCTCCCCGCCGCGCCGCCCGCGTGGACCAGGGCCGCCTCGGCTTCTTAGGAGCTGCCGGCCCCGAGCCCCAATACGGGGCTCGAGGCCCGCTCGCGCCATATGGTGGCCGAGGCGGAGGCAGACGCCGAGGCCAGGCCGAAGCCGTCGTCGAGGGCTAACTACCCAGGGAGCAGGGCGGCGGGGCGGACGCGGCGCGACCTGCCGCGGCGGCAGCGGGCCCACGAGGACGGATGGGCCCATGTGCCACCACCATACGTAGGAGGGAGGGGGAGGAGGAGGATGCGGAGATGAGGAGGAGGAGGAGGAGGAGGAGGAGGAGGAGGAGAGGAGGATGAGCAGGAGAGGAGGAGGAGGAGAAGGAGAGAGGAGAGGAGGAGGAGAGGAGGAGGGGGAGGAGGAGGAGGAGGAGGAGGAGGAGAGGAGAGGAGGAGGAGGGGGGAGGAGGAGGAGGAGAGAGAGGAGGAGGGGTGGAGGAGAGGAGGAGGGGGAGGAAAGAGGAGGAGGAGGAGGAGGAGGAGAGGATGAGGAGGAGGAGGACCTCCTCATCCTCCCTTCTCCCCCGTCCTGCATGTAGGGTAGTGGTGGTGGAGAATTCACCAATCAAGGACGCCGGCGACGTGACGGCGGCGCCCCTGCCCCTGGGGAGGGCGGCCGCCAGCCCCGTGCTCGGGATCACAGCGCCCCCGCGGGTGGCCGGCCGGGGAGAGAAGAGGAGTCGACCCCCGAGATCTCGACGCCGCACTTTTTTGGAGCCATGGGCGCGCGCGTGTGTGTGTGTGTGTGTGTGTGTGTGTGAGTGTGTGTGTGTGTTGTGTCAGCCCAGAGATGCGAGGATCTGTTTTTTCCATTCGGCGTGCTTTTTCCTGCATCTCGGCCTCCGGGGCTCCTTTCTCGGGGACCCCTGGGGCCGCGCATCGAGAAAATCATGTATCGGCGGATGTCTGGGTGGTCTCGGGCCCCAGCAGGGCCGTCTCAGATCGATCTCCTGCTCGACAGCAGTGGCGCAGGACAAGATGGGACCCGGGGTTCTGGTCGCAATGTTTCCCGAAGTAGCGATCTGCCCGCGCCGTCGGATCTCAGGGGAGGACCCCCCCAAAAAGCGGCAAATGGCACACGAGCTTTCCGAGGTCCGCGCGGGCTTCCCGGGTAGGTGCCCCCTCGGGTCGGGCGAAAGGGTCGGATAGGGAACGTGGGGCTCCCGCCCCACCGCCGGGCCCATTCCTCGATACATGGGCGCCTCCCGGCGCCAGGAGGCGCCAGGAAAACCAGCTGCACGAGCTGACTCTCGACCCTGCCCTTACGGCGGGCCTGTCCCTCTACAGGAGGAGTATTCAAAAATAGTACAAAAATAATTTTAAAATCGTCAGGGGACATTTTTTGTTTGGTTTTCAACCACTTGGTTCTTTGTGTTTTTGAATCTTTTTCTGGTAGTTTCGATTTTCTGCCCACGATCCCCCCTGCAGGAGGACATACCCAACCGAACCCTGCAATTTGCTGCCGTATACCCTGTCGCCCCCCCCCCCGATGGCCCCTCCGCGGCGCCCCCCCCCCGGGATCGGCGCCTCCGCGGCGGCCCCCCCCTCCCGATGCCCCTCCCCCCCCGATGGCCCCCTCCGCGGCGCCTCCGCGGCGCCCCCCCCCCCCACCCCGAGGGCCCTTCCGTCCTTCGTCTCGTGGTAGAGCGCGCCCGATCCCGCCGTCGCGCGCCCCGGGCTCGCGCGGAGGGGGGGAGGATTCGGGGGGGGGGGAGGAGGAAGAGAAAGGATGACGAGCGGAGGGGAAAAGAGGGAGAAGCAGATGAGGATGAAGAGGAGGAGGCGGAGGCGGAGGCGGATGGGGGAGGAAGAGAAGGCGGTGGGGGGGCGGCGCCGACCCGAGAGCAACGCCGCGCGGGCCTCGGAGAGCGCGCCCCCGGCCAAAAAAAAAAAAGCCCTCGCCCTGTGCCGCCCCCCTCCCCGCCGAGGAGGGAGGAGCCGGCCGGGCGCCTGCGGCGCGCCGAGCCCGGAGGAAGAAAACCGCGCATTGCTGCCTCCCGGGCCCCGCGAGGCCGCGGCCCCGCGGGGAGGAGAGGAGGAGGAGGAGAAGGAGGAGGAGGAGGATGATGGGGGGAGGAGGTAGAGAGGAGGGAGGAGAGTAGGAGGAGGAGGAGGAGGAAGGGGAGGGGAGTGAGGGAGAGGGAGGGGATCAGGAGGTGCCGCGGCCCCCCGGAGCGGGGGGGGTGCCAACGCGCGGAGCGCGCTCCGTGCCAGCTGGAGCGCGCGGGAGCGCGTGGGGCCCCCCCCCCCCCCCCCCCCCCGCGGAGCGCAGAGGGGTGTGGGTGGGGATCCTGAGCTGGGGCTGCGGGGCGACCCCAGCGGGAGGCTCACGAGCGATGCCTCCTCCGAGCGATGCCTCCTCCGAGCTGGGGCCGTCTTGAGCGATGCCTCCTCCGAGCCCACCTCTGCCCCTGCTGCCCCACCTTCGCGTGCCCCCGGGTGGAGGCGGGTACGTTCGCTGAGGGAGATCTGCCGTTGCCAGAGATGCAACATCGCCAAAACCACGACCAGAACCGTGGACTGCTCCATCTCTCTGTGCCCACTCTCGAGCCGCATCGATCTGTCGTAAGGAAAATCATTGAGGCCTCGCGCGGCGCGTAATAGTAGTATGATCTAGTCCACTTGTCAGTTCCGTAACTAAGCCATTGGTCGACGCTCGCGCGGCGATGCTCCAGAGTCAGTCCGACGTAAATCCGATGTAGGCCGACGTGCACCCGACGTACATCCGACTTGGATCCAGCGAAATCGGGTCTCAAGTTTCCGCGCGAGGCCTCCAGGACTTTCTTCATAAGATCCGTGAGGGTCCCAGACCTCAGGGTCTCACATCGCGGCGCCCAGACCTCAGGGTCCCCAGACCCCCGACGTCGTGATTTTTGTTCCCAGCGTCTGCCCCCAGAGGTCTGGACCCCTTCCCCTGGACCCGCTTCTCATCCTCTGAGCCATTTTCTGACGGCCCCGAGGCCCGGCGAGGGCCTCCGGAGGCCGAACACATGGCCAAAAGCCTCCCGCGCCAGCTACGACTTTTTCTCCGACCCCCGCGCGCGGGGCTCTTGGCCCGCGCTGCTCGTGCCGAGGCCGGGCCCGGGAAGCCCGGCGCCGCCGCCGCGGGCCCGGCGACGCCGCGCCGGGTGCTCAGTGCCTCGGGGCGCGCGGTGCTGGGCTCCACCGCGGCGGGCGGCCCCGCGGAGCCGCGGCCCTCCTCGGGCGCGGGGCGCCTGGGGGGCGCCGCTGGGCGCGCGGCGCTGGGCGCCGTGTGCGCGCCGCCGGAGCTGCCCCTGGTCACGGCTCGCCGGGCGGGGCGCGGCGGGGCTGGGCCTATAGAGACGCTGTGCTGCTGCGCTCTCTGGCTGTGCTCGCTGTGCCTCGCTTTTGGGGGGGGAGGTCTGCAGGGAAGCGGGCGGGGCGAGGCGAAGAGAGAAACACGAGGACACGACGTTAGCAGCCACGTGTAGGCCCAGCCCTGTCTTGCGCGAGAGGGGGGGGGGAGCCAGGGGGAGGCGGCGCGGTATACCCTGAGGCCCTGGCGCTGCACGTCTGGCACAGGCGGGCGCCTGCGCTCGGCGTCGGGCCCCCGGGGCCCTCGTAGAGCGATGCGGCTCGGAGCATGGCGCAGAGAGCTGCGGTCCGGGGTCCTGGTCGTGTTTTTTGCGATGTTGCAATGTTTTGCAACGTCGGATCCCAGGGAGGGGCGTCGGTTGAGGAATGTGGTTGAGGAATGTGCCCAGGAGGCAAACTACCCTGGAGGGCGTCTTTTTCTGCTGGGGGCGGCGGTGATATCCATAGCCAGGCCTCAAGTGGTGTTCCTCCGGCTTCAAGACCATGGATACTTTATCCGATGGTTCGTCATCTAATGCCCTCATCCTAGTGGGGGAAGAGAGGTGCGCCTCTCCCATATGGGGTCGGCTCGATTGTGTCGGAGGATCGCGCCGCGTCGCCGGTGCGGTTCGATGCGGAGCCCGATTTTCTTCACGTCGGCTGCGCTGATGCACCGCCGACGTCGCCGATGCATCGGCGATGCGGCGCGATCCTTCGACCCCATCCGCTCGGACCACATCTAGGAGGCCTCCAGATGCATGGGGGGCGCACAGCTCGTGCACCTTAGGGTTCAGTCGGCCTGTCCCTCTACAGGAGGAATCTTCAAAAATAGTAAACACATGGTCTGGGGACTATTTTTATATTTTATGTTTGGACCATTTGGGAGTGTTTTTTTTTGACTATTTTTAATTGTCCTTCAAATTCCCCCTGCAGGGGGACAGGCCCGGCTTAACCTTATAGGGGGCCCTATAGGGGCCTCCCAGGGCTCCCAAAGGGGCACGGCATGCGCACGCCTCGTCGCCCCCACCAGTTGGTGGCCGCCCCCTCGAGCAGCGCCCAAGGCCGACAGCGACGTGCACGGGGTGCTGGTGCTGGGAGGGAAGGACCGCTGCCGCCCGAAACACTCTCGGGGAGCCTCGCCGAGTTGGTCCCCCTTTTGTTCCTCGAGGGGCGGCGGGAGATCGCGAGGGAGGGCTCCTGGGCCTCTCGTTCGGCCTCGGGGGGCCCGCACCCCGGCCCTGGGGGCTGTCGAGGAACGGCTCGGGACGAGAAGCCAGTCCTGGGGCAGGAGTGCAGTCGGGGCCCTGAAGGAGGAACCTTTTTCGTTGTGGAGGGGCTCGGCGTTCCTTGGTTGTTCTGCAGTTTGCCTCCAGTTTCCCCTAGGTTTTCGATCTGAAATCGAAGTTGAACTTATGGAGATTAGGGGCCTCGTTCCTCATTTAGGGTTCCTTAGGTCAAGGCCCCGACTGTAAGGAAGCCCTCTGGGAGTGCGCGCCGCGGAGCCCGCATGTCGACCTCCAGGCCGCCCGGGCAGGCGTCCTCCTGGGCGCTCGCGTGCCTCGCAGGAGCGCCCTCGTGGGCGCGGCTGGGTCCGCCTCGACCTTCGCGCCAAACACCAGGATGCGCCAGGAGCGTCGATTGTCGTCGTTGTCTTATTCATTGTCTTGCCGATCGGCGCGGGCCCTCGCCCCCCCCACCCCCTCCCCCCCACCATGATGAAGATCTTGGCTGTGTTTGGTGCCTGTTTCAAGCAGGCGAAGTCTCCCCGAAAAGGACGCACTGCTGCAAGCAATCGCATTCAGCAGAGGTCCAGAGCCAGGCCCCCCCTCCCCCCCCTTCCGCCCCAATGTCGACACGCCGAATACACGAAACGTTCACATGTGGAAGAATGCGCTCGGGGGTGGACAGAACCCCCAACACTGACACGTCGATTCGTGAATGGTCCATTTTCGGTTCTCGAGACGGCGCCGTGGCCGTTCTTTTCCAGGCTCGCGCCCGCCAGGTTTGGGCCCCAGGTCGTTTTCACGAAACCACGTCTTACTGAAGTCGCAGGCCTAGAGAGCGACACCAACACCAATGTCGGCGATGCTCCTCCACCGAGGGAAGAAAAATCCCGATCTCGGTGATGGTGGTAATATTCTGGCTGCCAAGGTGACCGAAATATTACCACCAGCACCGAAAAAGAGGATCACCTCCCCCCTGTGGAGGCAGCCCTCTGTCTTGGTGTTGGTGCCCATTTCCAGGCCTCCCATAAAGGGGAGTCTTTCCATCCCCGATGCGCAGATCTCCGGCCTCCGAGCCGGGGCTGCACCGGACGAAGGCCGGAGAGCATCGCGCCGCCTCGCCGCTGCCTCGGCGACGGCGGCGCGCCTGCGGGAGCCCGGCCTTCCCCCCCCGGCCCCGGCAGCAGATCTGCTCTGGCCAGGCTTCTCGGGCCGGACGAAAGGGCCTCCTTCTCCTCCTCCTCTTCCTCCTCCGTCCTCCTGCTCCTCCGTCCTCCTCCTCCTCCTCCTCCTCCTCCTCCTCCTCCTCCTCCTTCCTCCTCCTCCTCTCGGGCCGGACGAAAGGGGGGGGTTGGGAAAGGTGGGGGGGTACGAAATTTGCGCGTGCAGCTGGTTTCGGCCTCCCCGAGGGGGCCCATGCCTCGATACATGGGGCCCCGGCGCCGGGAGGCGCCAGGAAAATCAGATACCGTGAGCTGATTCTCAAGCCCCCCCTTTGCTATCCCCCCCTTTCGCCCGACCCGAGTTTCGGCGGCCTCCGCAGGAGCCGGGAAGAACCCAGCCTGGTCTGTCGCTCGCGGCCGCGGTGAACGACTGCACGTAAGAGTGACCCTTCGCCGGAGTGACTATTGTTGCGCGCTCACTGGGGTCCCCCGATCGCCGCGCTCGGTGCGATGGCGGCGTCTTGCGCGCTTGCGTTTTGGGCCTCCTCGCGCCCCCCAAGAGCCGCGCACCAGAGGTCGCTCTTGCCCAGGGTCGCTCTCGTGTGCAGCCGAGGTGAACGGAGCGTACCCGACCGGCCGCGCAGTCAAGGACAAGCGGGAGGCGATGCCGCTCAGCGGGCAGACCTATGAGATTCCAGCGCGCGAGGTGAGGGCGGTGGACGGCACGGCGAGGGACATGCGGGTGCTCCTCACGGACACGCCGCCGTGCGGCACCGGCAGCGAGGAGCAGCCGCTGTGCACGAGGGCCAGCCCGAACTCCACGCAGCGCCAGCAGGTGGTGCCGTCCTGGATGAAGGTCGCGCTGCGCAACGGCAACCAGCCGCACTACGCCGTGCTCTTCTGCATCGACTCCACGGCCACGCCGCTCTGGGAGGACGCGGGCCGCTGCTGCGACCTCTCGAGGCTCCTCTCCGCGCTGAGGCGGAGCAACTACACCGTCGTCCTGGCCGTCACGAAGCTGCTCCAGGCACGGGAGGATGCCCTCCGAGACAAGAACATGGGCGTGGCGGGCGGCATGCGGGGAACGGGCAATGACATAAAAGACCCGTTCGGAGGTCCGCTCAGAGTTCTCGGATCGCGCTGCCCCCCCCCCCCCCCCCGCCTTCCCTGGCGCGCGGATCCGAGGCGTCGCCAGGGGGGGGCGCAGCGCCGAGCCGAGAAATCCGCGCGGGTACCTCCGAACGTTTCGCGGTTCTGTCATTGTCTGTTTCCCGAGGCATGGACCCGCGGAACAGCTACGAGTCCTTCGCCGGGAGGTACGTGGAGAAGGTGAGCGCTGCGATTCAGGCTGCCAGTGGCGAGCAGCACCTGCCTCTGGAGCCGGGCCGTCAGGCCTTCCCGCTCCCCAACGTGACAATCTTCGACGTCCCCACCTGGAGCTCGGGACGATCGAATTGGGGACGGGGACGGAAAGAATGGGCACAAACACCGACAGCATCCGCTGCTCATTTTGAGCAGGACTCGCTGTCGGTGTCACCGCGGGCGGTGTTCATATGAGACAGAAGGCCATCTGCCCAACATCGGCCGCTGTTGGTTTGGGGCACTATTTGTTGTTGGGCAGTGTGCCCATTTTTCTGTACCCAATTCGGGTGTCCAAAGGAGCGGCGCCGTCGTTTACAAGTCGTGGTTGGGCAAAGTTGCGACTGCGGAGCTGCCGAACTTGCGGTACGCGACTTCGCAGCTGAAGCGCGTGTTGGACGCAGTGAGCCTGAGGTCTTGTGCTTTGACGTGAGGGCCACCCGCACTTGCTCCTGCGCCTGCTTGCGCGCGTTCCCAGCATCACAGGTCCAGCACGGGACGGGATGGTGCATTCTGCGCAGCCTCGGCATCTTCGCCGGTGCGGCAAGCATCGAATATGTTGCTTCTCCCTGGCGCTGGTGGCCAACAAAACCTTTGCGCTTCGCGTGCGCCCACTGTGCCCATCCATGATCCAGTGTGCCCCTTCTGGGGGGAACTTCTTAGGATTGCCTATCTTCGGCGACCAACTCGGGGAAAGACGAAGGTCCTCCTTCTGCTTCCGTCGTGCCCCCCCCCTGCACCAGGGGAAAGCCCGAGGGCTTGGACATTTTCTGTCCAGGGCCGTCGCCTACAGCAAAGTAAGAGTGACATCGTGTTAGTTGTCTTACTTTTCCGTGGCCCTTTGAGTAATAGTGTTCGGGTGGTTTCTGTGTTTGGGACATTCTGGCCTGGTTGGGCAGGTCTTGTTCGGTGTGACATGATGCGGTTCCAGCTTTGGCCTGGCCGGCGCGGTCCTGGTTAGGTCCAGTATGGTGTGGTCTCTTGCGGTCTGCGAGTGCAGGGGTCAAAGAAGACGAGGAGGAATTTCAAGGAGGGAGGACGGGGAAGACGAGGAGGATGATAATGCTGACGGCAGGAGTGGCTGCGCGGCGGCGGCGGCGACGACGACGACGACGACGACGACGGCGGCCACGACGACGACGACGACGACGAGATTGACGACGACCAGGTCGACGACGACGAGGTTGACGACTGCGACGGCGACGACGACGACGACGACGACGAAGTCCGCGCGGATCCCCTGCGCCCTCGGCGCCGTGCGCCTCTGCGAGGCCAGGCCGGCTCGAGCCGTCCCTCGGCCTTTTGCGCCCAGCCCGCGTGGGAGCCCCTCTGCCGAGCACGCCCCGGCCGCGTGCGGGCCGCCCGCGGGCCGTGCCCAGCGCGAAGAGTCGGGGAAGCGTAAGATGATGTCGGGCGTGTCCCCTTACAGGGGGGTTTTCGACGAAAAATAAGAAAGTACTTCAAAAATACCCCAAGAAGGTCAAGAAATATTTATAACATAGTCCCCAGACTTTTTTTTTTTTTTTTTTTTTTTTTTATTATTATTTTTTGTTTATTTTTGGTGTATTTTTTATTTTTCATCGAAAATCCCCCTGTAGGGGGACAGGCCCGACTTAAGCGTAAGACGCGAGTGCTCGCCGGCACTGGGCAGGTTTTGGACCATTCTCGACTGCGGCCCCCGTGGATGCGGACACAGTTCGGTTTTTTTTTTTTTTTTTTTTTTTATTATTATTTTTTGATTATTTTTGGTGTATTTTTTATTTTTCATCGAAAATCCCCCTGTAGGGGGACAGGCCCGACTTAAGCGTAAGACGCGAGTGCTCGCCGGCACTGGGCAGGTTTTGGACCATTCTCGACTGCGGCCCCCGTGGATGCGGACACAGTTCGGGTATGGCCAGGACCCCGGGTAAGGGGACCCGGCTAGTGGTAGGGCCCTGGGGCCCCTCCATTGGGCGTTTTTCGGGTGACGGCAGTTCCGGTTAGTGGAAGTGGAGCGGGGGGGCGCCCCCTGTACAAATCACTAAACCAGGTTCCACTAAACCCAGTTCTGCCAACGCCCGAACAGTGGGGGCGCGCATCAAGCAGCCATCTGCCTTTCGTCGGGGCACCCTGGGTCTCTTCGCTCCGCGCGCTGCGCGGTGACTTCCCGCGGCCGTTAGAGAAGCTGCCGCGTCGAGGGTGCTCCGTGTTTTTCCCCAGGTGCACCTCGCGCGCGGGTTTCCAGGGCTGGGCGTCTTGCAAGGGTTTCTCGCGACCGCGCCCGCACTGGACACGCTCCGCTGCGGCGCCCGGAGCCCCGCGTCAGGCCTGCAGGCGAGAACGCGCTCCCGAGGAGCCGAATGTCAGCAATGTGGCAAATCCCCTGTGTTTTTGGAGCCTGACCCCGCCGATCTGCGTGAGGGGTGCCAATTTTTACCCACCCCCGCAATTCAGAGCATACGCTCAGGGCGTGCTGAACCTGCCCGCTTGGGCCTGCCCCCCCTCGCGCGGCCCATCAACGAGGAACAGTAAGCAGCAAGAAGCAGAACTGTAACAGCAGAAACTGGGAGCTGCAACTGGTACAGGAAACTGCGAACCTTCGGCCTGCAGCCTGGTGGCCCCACCAGGGGGCCGGCGGATTTTCAGCCTCTCGGGGCCTTCGCCAGACCCCGGGACCGTCAAAAACGACTCGGGATGAAACCCCGGCCCCTGGGAAAGGGTGGGGACTTCTGGGGGCCGCGTACAGTGCAGACCCATGCCAACAAACACCCTGCTTGCCTCCAGAATGCCCTGGGTTTCTTGGGTTTCGGTGGTTTCGCGATGGACAGCGTGACGTTCCTACACCAAAAACTAGTGGACGCCCCAGGTCTTAGGGTTGGGTTTCTTGTTGAAGGTTTCCTGTGGTGGGGCCCCTACTGCCTTGAAACATCAGGACGTCGCATGTCTGGGACGATGGCACGGATGTGGCCGCGGCGCTCGTGTGTCGGGGGGAGCTTTGACGGGCCCGTCTCAGGTACTGGCGGTCTGGCCTTCGTGGGATGTCTGCAGCGGGAGCTTGCGTCAAAGTGCCAGGCTGGGTCTCGTCATTGTCCTGGCGGCCCCGTTAGGCGGGCCGGAATCTCCCTGATTGACCCGTCTTACGCCTCCCCGAAAGCAGCGGCTCCTGAGCAACCGCGCGCGCGGGTGGTCGAGGCCGCCGCGGCCCGCGCGGGCCCGCGCGCGGTTCCTGAGCCCTTGGCGTCGCTCGGCCGTGTGCATGTTTTCTAGGCGAGGGCCATGGAAGAGCATCCTGGATCATCTTGCGGAACATGAGCGCACGAGACCGAAGCAGGCACGGGGCTCGGAGCCTCGTCACGACTCCCAGTGGGAGGTGAGAGCTGGCTGCTTTGCTGACAGGTGGTCTGCAGTCAATGTGCATAATGAGGATGAGCGACCTTTCAAGGTTACCCTTGCAGCCTTCCCCCTCGGCCCATCCTTGGTCGCTTTCGCTGGCCGCGCCCTGCTCGCAAAGTGTCGACATGGCCTTCCACGGCCCTTGCATCCTTATCGTGCGTCCGTGTTGTGCGGTTGCACGGGTTGACTGTAACCCGAACTGCAGTTTCATCAGACTTACGCCTGCAGCCTCCTGGGGTCCTCGTCCTGTCCCCCATGGGCTGTCAGCAGGTACGACTCGGGATGATCAGCCGGTCCCGGGGAGAGGCCAGAGGTCCAGGGCCGGGGACGTCTTCGATGTTAAGTCGTCGGGAAGGGGGGGGGGGAGCGAGGGGAGCGAGGAGGGGTATGGGCATGTGGAGAGGTGGGGGAGTAGAGTGCGTGGGGATGGGTTGTGAGGCGCGGGGGTTGGGAGGGGCAGGAGGGGTCCCAGGTAGGGCACGGGGGGGGAGGATGAGGGAGGGGTCGGGCCTGGAGGAGGGCGGGAAATGAACCGGCGGGGGAGGGGTGAGAAAGAGATGTCATGTGGGGTTGCTTCGTTCCTTCCCTTTCGTATCCCCGCGTCCCCCACTTCATCCCGTCTCTCCCATCTCCCCCCCCCCGTTTCCTCCTCCTGCCTCCCCTCCGCTTCTGCCTGCTCTGCTCCTCCTTCCCCTCGTCCTCCGTGGCCATGTCGGCTCAAGCTGCGCAGCGTCTCACGGGATCTCCCGACCGCCTGCTCTCGGGCCTCCCTGCTCCCCCCCCTCCGCGCCGGCCGCCGCGCCGCCCCCCGCGATCCTGCTGGCCAAGAGCAGCCCGAAGCTGCCAGCCCGCGCCTCACGGGCCCTGCGGCGCCGGGCCCTCGCGCGCGACGCGCGGAGCGCGCCCTCCACGAGCTTCGGGCCCACCGCGCGCCTCGCACGCGGCCCAGTCGCCGAGATAAGGAACGGTTTGGGCCAGAGAGGGGCCCGACATCCCTTGGGTCCCTCTGTGGCTTTCCCTCCAGCCTTCCCCGTGCACGCAGGCGCCCGTGGGGCCAGAAAGGGGCCCCTCGCTCCTTTCTGCACGAAGGAGATGGGCACGGAAAGAATGGGTACAATGCTCCACAGCAGTTCCTGCTCATTTTGAACAGGGCTCGCTGTCCGCGCCGCCGCGGCGGCCTGAGTCCATTTGAGACAGAAGGCCGCTTGCCCAACAGCGGCCGCTGTTGGTTTGGGACGGCAGTTGTTGTTGGGCATTGTACCCGTTTTTCCCGTACCCATGTCGGGCGTCCAGATCCTTGCTCCTCGCTCCTTCTTTCCGCAGCCCGACGGCACGCGTCGACGCTTCGCACCCGCCGCCCCTGCGCTGCCTCCGCACCCACGGCGCCCCCCTCGTCGGCCCCCCGGGGCTCGGCACCCGGACGCCGCCCGCCTGCGCACGACGCCCGCACGGGGGGCTCAGGCCGCCCGTCGGCCGCCCGGGCGGCGGCCTGCGGCGCCGGCCCCGGCGCGGGCGCCGGCACGCGGGCCGCTCCGAGTCGGGAGGGGAGCAACAACTTGTTGGTCGGCGGGTCGGGAGCGGGCCCCTTCCGGTTAAGAGCTAAGCGGGGCGCGCGAAGCATTATAGCTGGGGAGACAGGGCTCGGGCGGGCGGGGCCTCAGGCGGCCGGAGGGTGCGGAGAACAGGCGGTGCCGAAGATCTTGCACAGGAAAAGGTGCGCCATGGACAGGAGCCGGGGGCGAAGTCCCGGAGGGGGAGTGAATTGGTGTTGCCGTCAACGGCGCGCCAGGAACACCATCCTCGAGTGCTGCGTGGGGAGGGCCGTGACCATGTCAACGTCCGAAAGTGGAACAAGAACACACAGACACAATTGATCGCCGGTTTCCCAAGAAAAGATTGGAAAATGTAGGAAGTGGGGGGGGGAAGGCAGAAGCCCCGAAACTATGGGAAAGCAGGGGGGAATCCTATGACGTGTGTCTACTTATTCGTGTGTGTCCCAGGGCCCCTTCGCTGAGGCTCGCCCACCGCTCCGCCGGGGCCGTCGCCGCGCACGCGCCCGGCGCTGGGCCGCCGGAGCGCGGTCCACCGCGAGCCCCCATGCTGCCCCCCATGTTTTGATCCCATTTTTGAGTCCAGAATGCGGCCCCCCATGCTGCACCCCATGTTTTTTTTCCCCTCCAGAACGCTGCCCCCCATGCTGCACTCCATGTTTTTTTCCTCCAGCATAATCCGCCTGCAGGAGGACGTGCCCGCCCTGATGCTGCCCCGACTCGCGGTCCGACCTGCTCGAACGCCACACGGTTCGGACGCGCAGGCCCGGCGCGTCGGC